AGTAAGTGAATGGATGAACGAGTGCATGCCTATTGATGATTGAATGAATGAGTGAATGAATCGCTGGTTGAATGATTGAATAATGAACGAATGAACGAATGAGCAACTGAACGAACAAGATACATCAGGAGTATACATACATGTCTACATGTGCAAGTCTTGTAGGCACATGTACAAATCTACAGATATGTGCACACACACACATATGTACAGTTAACGGACAGAATGGTAAATATGGGTAAATAGATGATGGATAGACTGATAGATCGAGTGATGACTAGATGGATGTTCAGATAGGTTGATCGACTGATAGATAGGTATGTAGACAGATAAACAGACAGATGGTTCACGTAGGCACAGAGTGTAGAGGCATGGCCATGTGTGTGTTCGTATGTAGATGTTGACATACGCATTTTTTTTGGTGCAGTCGTGTCCATGATCCTGCTATGTATGATGTAGGTGCACGAACACAGACCATATGTCGTGTTGTCGCTTTCGCAGTTGGTAGCAACGGCCTCAGCTTCAGAGGTCGGTAATGCTTGATGCTGAGGTCTAGATTGACACCAAGTGTTTCGATCTGTCGAATGTAGAAATATGTGGCATGACACCCAGGATACCGACCACAATGGAACGGTGACCGCAGACGAGTTCATTGACGGCACCATGAAGCTCAAAGGCTCAGCCAAGAGCAGCTGGGCTTCACATGGGAAGACACGGCTTTAGATTCTTAGATCAATGCGGTGGGTTCGCAAGAAACGACCAGCGGCCAAAACAAAGCCGGCAGCAATTCTGCCAAGTGATAGGAGCGCTCATCCACAGTTTGATGGATTTTCCCCTCTCGAGGTGTGGACATGCTGCTGCTCATGCCACTTGCCTGCAACACGACTCGGAGCAGTATGGAGCCGCTTGTGTTTGCCATAGACCGGCAAGTGGACTCTTACAGATGAGCCTTGCATCTCATCAGGTTCGACCAGGTCCGGTCTCTTGCCCGCAGCCAGGGGTGTTAACGGTTTGGGAACCGACTTAGCAGGTAGGCGAGCTCCCAGAGCAGTGATGGGGGGACCTGCGGGGTGAATCTATACCTGTGCAAGTCTGCTTATGCCAGAGAGCGCTCTTACGTCAGTCACACCTGGCTGCACGAGTTCGTGGATATGCAAGTATGCACATTCTTCTGCCGAATCCCCTCAAGGTTTACCACCAAGTTCAACTTCCTGTGCTCCTTCATCGAGGCATCTTGCCAGAGTGATTCGAAGAAAAACACAGCTTTGCTGCAAGAACAACACGCATCCCTATGCACGCCTCAGAAAAGCCCGCTTCAGAGCCCGATATGCCATCGAGCACACGTGGCAGGATGAGCTTCGAAACATCAAGTCAGTCCTGACACCAGGCATTGGAAGCGCTTGTGCAGTTTTCGTTGTCCGAGTGTTCTTCTCTTGCCAGAGCGATGCATCACCTGCAGATGCCTGAAGAGGGACATTCCGTGAATACATGCTTAAGACTCGCTTAGATGTAGAAGCAGACGACGAAGCTTCATGCGTCCAGATTCAATGGCGAAAGGCTTGGTTGTTGAGCAGGTGGTGAGAGAAAGCTCCCGGCAAAAATCTTCAAAGCTCCGGAAGGTAGCGCTTGCTTCACAGCAGCTTGGCCCTAGCGCAGTATTTTTTATTCAGTAGAGGGGGTGCATTGTCACCTTCATGAGTTGACATGGTCGGTGTCCTGATTTCAGTCGGGAGGAATATTGTGCCGGAAATGCTTGGTTGCTTTAAGTATAAGTAGCCTTGACTACGCAGCATCCATGAGGTGCGAGTGCCGACGAACGCAGGGGAAAAGGCTTTGGCTCTCCCAAAACTCCGACGAGCCACATGGACTCAGGCCTCCAAGTCGAACATGGAGTTTATGGAGTTGCTGGATCCCGAAGAAGATGCGAAGAGGTGACGGGGAAATTTAACAGATCCTGAGACCTGAGACCTTCGCCTGTGGCTTTGGGATATGTTTGGGCATAGGAGCCCTGTGATTTTTCGGCACTTTCTAAGAGCGCGAAGGTCCGGGGGCAAATACCGATTTTACAATGCTATCGCCAGCCCTGCGCAGTCTCCAAACGGAGAAGCGACCAGGGCGGCTTGTTGAGATCTCACGACCCTGCCTAATGGCAGGGCTTCAGCAGCTACAGCAGACCCTGGCGGCCCCTTCTTGTCCTTCAGACGCAGAATCGTCACATCAGGTGCTTCGTAGAGTGGGAACTTCGGTTGCAAGCCTTCCGATCGGATCACGCAACAACAACTCTCCAATCCCAGCGTCGAAGTCTCGGTCCGCTGAGTTTGCATGTCAGGGCACATTTCCCAGCCGAAAACTTGGATGCGAGTGCTCTGGAATGCATGCAGTGCAGATACCTCGGAGAGCAGGATGCAGCAAGCTCCTATAAGCTTAAGCTTTCTGGAATCTGTTGGCTGGCTGCTTGTGCTTCCAGCTTTGCTTGCAGAGAGGCTCATGAAAGTTCGGGCAGATCCGAATCCAACAGTGGCGCTCGAAGACAACCACAGACCTACCCGACAGCAGCTAGCCCCGGAAGCTTGCCAGAAAGCATGATGGTGAGCCTGCTGTCACTTGTGGCACGGTCCTGTTGACGCTGGTCGCAGCAGTGACCCAGGCACGGAATTGCACTGTAGTCAGAGCCACATGATCCATACTTCGTAGGGGTTGCCTCCGGCTGTTTCGTGATGAGGGCTCTTCGCTGCTGATACCACCATGCGGTTGACAGACGTCGTTGCCTTGAGCCCAGGATCTCGAGACATTGGGTACTTGTGGCATTGTAGCATCTGCTAGAAGGGGATGACGTTCACGGCTGTGCATCATGTCGGCCTGCCACTTCTAGGACCTGCTCACCCATGTCCTGAATCTTGGCGACCACAACCTCAAACGTGCTCTTAGGTTTTGCTGCTGTGCGCTGTGCCTGTGATGGCATCCGAAATTGATGAGGCAAGCCGCAGTGACCCCACCGAATTACAGTCTCAGGCATAGCAGCTTGCAGGGCAACATGCAAGGCAATATGCAGGAAGTATCACAGACTTGCAGTTCTTCCTCCTTCCAGGAGAACTGGTGTCAACTTGGGTATTGCAGTGCCTCGGCCGCGCCTCAATAGGCAACCATCAGTGCGTACCAGTGCAGATGCAGCCATGTGCAGATGTGGAGTATCTTAGTATAGGTGTGTAACTGCTGATTGGTTGGGTCTGGCCGCGGATCCTGCGCCGCACTGAGATCATGCTGCTGGGTAGCATCGGCTTCATGATGGGCATCTTTTACCTAGTCCGCGGCCCAGAGAGACTGAGGGCATGACGTGGAGCCACGTGCAGCGCCGTGACATGGTAAGATCGAAGTAGTCTCCAAGTCTTCTTCCACGACTCTTGCAGTCTACTCGTCGATCTGCTGCATTGTTGGACCACCCTGTGTCGCAGGTTAACCACGAGGACAAAGAGATGCAGATCTGTACTTGGAAGGTGCTTCGCTGACTTTCTGTGGGCCGTCTGTGAGGTTGCGTGAGACGGTGCTGGCGGAAGGCTGACGGCGTAATGCAATGCATGTTGAAGTTTGCTCAAACCCCACAGATGCGAATCCAACTTAGCTCTGCCTTCCCCCAAAGCCCAAAGTGTGGAGCCGCGCTCTTTCTCGTTCGAGTCTGTTGTAAGAATCGTTGGCTGGTAACGTCCGGAGGCTTCCCTGGACCTCTCTGAACGGGCCTTTGACTTTCGCGAATTTCTGAGAAGCCTTCTTCCATACTCTTAGACCGCTTAAAACCTATGCCCGGTCTGTCGCACGTGTTTGATTGAGAAAATGCGAGGAAGAGAATGTTCAAAACATGCAGACTGACTAGCCAGACTTTCTGTGTCAAGAGTCGCATCTTCATCACCTTCATGGGCTGTCAGGTAATCTGTGCCACAATTTCTATTTTCGTGTCCGTTCTGATCTACCAGGCCAGCCCCTTTCTTGATGGCATTGATGTCTTTTCGCGGTATGTGCACCTATGTGCACGCTGGGCAGCACTTCAAGTCTACAGGGATGTCGGATCAATCGCAACAGCCCCTTGCAACATTGCTTGTTTGAGATTTGCAGCAACAAGAGTCGGCATGTTTTCGAGCACGCCATCCATCACGGTTAAGGATTACAAAGGCAGTTGCATTTTGCAAGTCCCCTTTGGATGACCGCCGCCGCCGCCGCCACCACTGCCGTGACCACTGCCACCATTGTAGCCGCCACTACTACCGCCACGTCACCATAGCTGTCATATTCTTAGCACCAGCTCTTTCATAGGAGTGGTCGCCAGCTCCTACCACGGGCCAGTTCACTTCAGTGCGGGTCCGCTTTGGAGAGTAGGCAGTGCATCCGGGAGGCGGTCAATGACGCCGTCAAGGCGATGTTTCTCCAAGGCTCCTCACCCATCGCGGCGATTGAGGCTGACACGGGGCACCTGGGGACCTGAACCGCATGTGATGGGTTTTCATGCCTAGTGATGGAGACAGGGTTTTTCAATTTCATGTGAAAAGTTGAGAATCGCAAGGGGCGACGAAGACGTCCCAGCTTTGGCTCGTATGTACTCACGGGCCAAACTTGCAGTTATTTCGGACACTCCCCTGCAGATTGCACCCTCAGCGGTTCTTTTAACTGGCTTGGCAGCAAAGGAAACAGGTACAAGAGCTACACAGGTGTAACCGAAAGAAGCAGTCTGCTAATCTGCACGGTGCCTTCCCAACGACGCCAAGTGAAGACTGAGGAGGCGCACTAGTCAGTAGATATCCTCCACAAAGTGTTCGGGACCGACGAATCCTTGGTGCTGGCACAATTCATCACAAAGCCAAAGCTGACAGCTCCTCAAGTTTGGCATCTTCACCTTACATCCGGAGTACTGTAGGAGCTTCAAGCTCCACCCCCCCACTAATCCGCAGAAGCATCTCCTAGGATCGGGAAGAGACAACTGCCTCTTTTGGCAGGTGGCCTTTGCGCACAGCATGGTCTGGTTTTTGACCCTGCAGACGTTTCTGGCCTCCGTGCCGGTGCCCGAGAGTTCCACTAAACTCTCTGCTAGTAGCTTCGAGAGTCAGCAAGCGTTGTGTTGTGCCTAAAGCGAGACTGTCGAAGGTCAGGGGCGATTACTTGGCCATGGTCCGCGCAGTTGGATCGGTCTGAGGCTGGATCCCAGATCCTTTGTAGGAAACTGTCTCATAGTGAGGAGCTGCACGCTTCCAGCCTCGAAGCCCGGATTTTTGCTTTCGGGTCCCAGGAGGCCGACAACAAGCGTGCACTGGACCTGAAGTGCTGGGCAGTGATCCTGGGATCGGGCTCCAAGCTCTTTGCGCAGAACAGAGTTGTTTGGGTTTTGGGACATTCGGGGCCACGGGGGTTTGCTGGTTTTTGAAGGTTGTCTTTTTGTTTGCATTCGTTTACCATTTTTGTGTTTCATCTTGACTCCTCTCCGCAGCCAAACAAGCGAGCGAGCGAGCGAGCACGCACGCACGCACGCTCGTAGGCACCGACGCACCGGCTCACACAAGAGAGGAAACAGGCAGGTGAGGACGAGGCGAGGACGACGAACTATGCTACCACCCTTCCTCAGAGCGGAGAAGCTTAAGGGGTGGCTCTGCTCACAGTCTCACAGGAAGGAAGACAGAAGACAAGACAGAACAGTCGCTATGCGCTTCCCGGGAAAGCTGAAGAAGACCTCGCCGGAGGCCACATCACCGGCTTCGCCTTCATCAGCGCGTGGCCGGGAGCTGACGCACTGTAACTGGCGATCTCTCTTTGCTTTGAAGTCGCCATGATTTCCACTCCGCCTTAAGGCCTTAAGCTTATCCTCCACCCCAGACGGCGCTGCAGTGGTGTTGTCATGAATCCGGATAAGGTCGCAGCTGCACGAGCACTTCGACGGGTCCTTGATCATCTTTCCGCTCGCGTGCGCAGAGATCTCGGGAACTCGTCTGACGCCGAAAGCATTTGATTGTCTCTGTGAGGTATTGCGTCCTGCGGCTACTTTTCAAGCTGGCGGACCCCATCACCGTACGGCCAGTGCCGTGCGAGCGTTTCCTTCAGCTGAGGGGGAATTTCTCGGCAGGAGAAGGCCCGTGAGGTTGTCATCTACGGCGACGATGGTGAGAAGGCGCGATGTTCGTTTGCTTCTGAAACTCCACTCTGGCCACTGGGGTTGGGGGACCGGTGCTGGTGGGGTGGGTAAAGCAGCGTGGCGTAACTTCTGGTTTTGACAAAGTCGCAGTTTCGCACCGAGTTCCGCGAATGTGCTTTAACAGAGACTCCTTTGTGGCCTTTGTCTTGACGACTGCCTCATGCCGGACGATGCACAGATCGTGTGGAGCCGCAACCAAAAGCGAATTGAACAACTGAGTACTGCGAGCCGGAAGTGTGACATGGATCACGATGATACAGAGTACTGAAGTAGAAATGGATCGAGAAAGAACCAACACAGGATATCACAACACATCAGCCACTGATTCACCGAACGAGCAAATTCCGAGTGAAGCATGATTCCCCTGGAGTTTTTCAGCAGTCCCAGAGAAGCAGCTTCAGAAGGGCAAAGTGAGAACTATGCTGCGCTGGTACCAGCGCGCGAAAAAATATATAAAGTCAGCGACCCTGCGAGACGAAGCTAGAGGGCAGCAGAAGAAGAGGAGGAATCATGCCCCCTACTCGCACCGGGATACGTAGGATCCGGGCGGGCGGGCCTAGAAAGGAAGATTAAAGGTAGAGACGGGGCCGTTCTGCAACGTGCCGAGGACGTCATGGAAGAGCACTGGGAGGAAGCAACGGAGGCGTGGTGAGTGCGAGTGTCCGAAGGTACCTGGCCGAGGAAGTCCGGTCATCGTGAGTAATTTGATAGTGACCAGATTGGCCAGATGTTCTGCAGGAGACAGAGGACGACGTCATGGGCCTAACCATGTCCTACCTCCTCGTCCAGCCAGCCTGGCCCATTTGTACTGCCAGTTGGATCCTCTCGCAGCGACGAGACTGACATGAAGGCAGAAACGCCACCTGGGCTCTCCTAGTGCGACGCCACCCTCCCTAGTCGTAGTACGATGATGGTGTGTGCAGGCCTATCCCTCTTTCCGCGGGTGCATGGATACGACTAAGATCTTGTTGTGGATTGCGAATCTGGTGGATAAATCTGGTAGTCTGCGACCACCTGAATCCTAAACTCTGTGTGTGCCTGTGTGTGTCGTATCGTCCCCGCCAGGACGATTCGCTTTTGGGCCACGGGTTACATGCCCGATGCCGAAGGAAATATGCCCGGAGGCCATACGACCAGTGACCTTCAGGCGCGAGCTCGTTTCTCCGGGAGTCAAGATTGCACAAAGCCAGAAGTAGGCACCTTCCCCTGCAGGGGATCCCTCACACCGCTCCAATGAGTCCTTTCAGGGGCACGATTCTTTCGCGTTCGTAGCTGCGTGGCTGCTGGGAAGATGCCTGGAATACAGGCTGCGCTCTTCATGATCGTCGGCATTCTGAGACTTGCTGGAAGAGAGCATGTCAGCGCTTGGCAAGCTGGAGGTTGAAGTTGGTGAAGTGTTGAGCGGGCCAAGGACGAGGTCAATCTTCCGGCCGATAATTTTTCGCTCGCTCAGGATAGCAGCTGCATCCTACATGCGCACCGTCTACTTTCCGGAGTCCTACTCTCAGCGACACTTACAACGGACGGAGGGCCAGGTCCAAAGTCTTAGGCCACTGCTGGTCGTGGCCCTCAACTGACAAAGTGCTTGTAGAAGTGGAAGCATGTGGATTCCTTTGCCGAGTTGGAGAGACCGCAATGCGATGTGGCTTCGACTGGCCGAACCCTGAGTTGCACCATGCGAGTCAACGCCATGAAGATTGTATAAGTTGACTGGGAAGATCTGAGAACGCGAGAGTTTTCGGTTGCATCGCTGACCGAGGTTTGTGACTTCTCCTTTTCGTGGACGATCATGTTCGGAATCGACGCGTTCTTGCCCAGCACCAAGAATCTCCACGCAGAAGTGCTTTCACTACGCTTTGCTCAGCAAATCAGCTCAGAGCTTGGTCCGGCTGTTGCTGTCGGTAGAGCGCCCTAAACCCTAAACCCTAAAGGCCCTAAACCTTAAACACTAAAGGGTGTAAAGCCTAAACCCTAACCCCTAAACCCTAAACGCAAATCCACCCAGGACAAACTCTGGTCTTGGCGGCGCTGAATTCGGCGTTGTGGGTGACGTTGGGAGCCTTGCATTTTTGGGGGCTCTTGAGAGAATCGGTCATTTCTGGACATGTCGTCGTGACCTTGCACAGCCGAGGTATGTGCCAGAAGTAAGTGTAAAGATGCATTCCGTTGCAAGATTTTGTGTTCTTCAGTTGCCTCTCAGGTGATCACTGCCTGCATAGTCACGGTTTGGGCATTTGCCGCCACTGCCTGAGCTTTATGGACTGCTGGGACGTCCTTATCTAAAGGCGGCCCCATGCATCAGTTGAGCATTTTCTACATACGGCGATGGTTCTGAGTCTATCGGAGCCTGTCGGTCATGCTTGGTACGACGTGTCGTGCTCGCCGTGCAGTAACTCGGCACTCCTGTTTAAACTCGGGCCCACAAGCAATCCGAGCTTAGTAGGGATCCTCAGGAGAATCTCCCAGAGCCCGAACCAGGGCATTTGCCTTCGCCACGCACCGAAGTGGAGCCTGATTTAAGAGCTTTAACCGAAAATGTTTCGAACTGTTGTTCGACCGGCGGAAAGCATACATGCTTGCCCGAATCAGGCCCAAATGCATTCTTCTGCGTGGCATTGAATATGGATGGGCTGCAGGAAACCATCTTGAAGCACTTTCGACGGGCTGAAACAGCAGAAATGTTCAATCCAGGCCCAAGGTGCAGGTTACCAGGCTAGGTCTAGTCATCATAGGAGATGTGGCCTAGACTACACTTTTGTGGTTCCTGTGAAGTTGTGCATCCGGAGACCTTAGGTCGTTTACTTCCTTGACAAGAAGGCCGGGGATTGAAATTTGTCGCTGTCTTCGAGCTGCGAGGAGCAGCGCTTCGCAAGGGGTGGCTGTCTTTGTGGTAGGCCCCTGTGGCCACGATCAAAGGTCCAGGAGCCACTGCCCCAAAGCCCCTAAAGGCCTTAACCCCAAAGCCCTGAAGACTATCAGTGACTACCAACCAGGAGGAAGGATGGAAATGACCTGCGTCCGCTCAGCCTCCGGTGAGGTGGACTCGGCCATGCACAAAGAAGAGGAGCTGGCCGCCAGTCCGAACTCGCCGGGGGCCCCTGGGGAGCTTGCCGAGGTTTGCTGGGGGTTGTTTGATGCGGACTCATATGCCGGTTAGCCGTAGGGTTTAGGGTTTAGGGTTTAGGGTGTGTGTATGAGAATTCTTCAAGATGGTCGTTCATGCGGTCGCACACGCACGAGTCGACCTTGCGGTTCCGTGCCTCCAATCCAGGAGAGACCAGGCGAAGGCCAAGCTCCAGAAGAGGCCAAGCTGCCAAAGCTGAAAAAAAGCTGCCATGTGCAAGGTCTTTCTCTGGTTTCACTCCTTTTCGCAGGAGAAGATGCCCTTTCTCTCGACCATCATGTGTCTATAGTTGTCTATCTTCTCTGCCTACCCATCTACCTGCAGAATCTATCTATCAATCTGTCTAGTTATTCTCTCTGTCTATGCGTGTATGACATTTTCGGACCTCGCGGCCTCGGTGTGACAGGAAAAGAGCCGCCATGCGTGGCACCATTTTAGTGCCAGCCTCGGACACTTTTCTCTGCGCTCCCCCATTTGCAGCACACATTGAGATTGCTCTTGAGGCCTTGGGAGTCTTGATTGGTTTCGCCTGGGAGAAGAGTGCAGCTCGGCCACAGGTGTCGCTAGCCTTTCCAAAGGAAATCCAAGCTTGCATGCAAGAGAGCAATGAGATATTTGCGAGGTTTGTCCCTGTCCAGTCACGGATGCAAGTACCCAAAAAGTGGATCGCGTGCCTTGAGTTGCTTCTTCTCCCACTAAGTTCGACACAGCAGTAGATGACACCGCCGAGAAGGACAGCACCTGACCGGTGGTCGAGCCTCCTCAATGCGCAGCTTTGTCGCCGTGAGGAGAGCAAAATCATGCCGCCTTCTTTCATCAAGGTGGTCTTGGCCATGCTTCTGGCGGGGTCCCCACGGAGGATTAAAAGGGACTGCAGAGTAGCTACGCCGGTTCTTTCCCCGTCCTGGAGCCCGAAAAAACAAAGGCCACTGTGGTCCTTCCGGCCTGGCGCTGGTACATCTTGCCTGTGGCCCCCTCAGAGCGGTGCTGGCGATGCAGACCCGCCGACACTTCTGGGCGGTCCATTTGTAGAATTGACTGCAGGAGGTCGTGCGTTTGGGTGGCTTTTCGGATCCGGCAGATGAGGAAGCCGAGGACCGGAGAGGGCTCTTGAGAGCATCACCTTCCTTCATCTCTGCGTGCAACAGCCTCTGGTTAGTATGCTCTTAAGCTGCTTGCAAACGCTGTAGATCGTTCGTTAAAAAAAAGCAGATACGAGCAATTGGCAAGACAGGAGTGGATGCGCAGACAGCAGAATTCTCGTTTCGACTTCGGAACACAGTCGCTAAGCTGAAGAGGCCGCCGGGCCGTACCCCGGTCCGGCCCCATACAAGGATATAATATAATATAATTTAAGATAATATGATATGGTAAACCCAAAACATCCATCGAAGCAGGCGAGCAATTGCTTCTTTCGTGCACCAGGATAGAGTGTTCAAGGTTCTTAAATGCCTCAGGCAAGCAGTAAACCACAGATATCCGAAGTTGGCCAGGACGCCGTGGAAAAAGCGGAAGAGGCCACCTGTTCTTATGGTCTTGCCAGCTGTTCCGACAGATCATGTTGGTTAGACGCAAGCGCTGCTACTTGGCTGCGCGGCCTCAGGGCTACGCTCCGCCCATGCTCCCAGAGACGATGGAGTTCAAGATGCAGGCCGGCCCCTATCCCAACTGCAGCGCGCTTCGAAGCGACTCTTTTTGGCGAAGTTGGAGGGTTTAAGGTTTTGGGGTTATAATTATAGGGGTTAGGCCGTAGGGGGTCTAGTGGTAAGGGGCCCTCTGCCGCTCCTGAGAGTATGCAAGGAGATGCAGAAGAAGATCGAGAAGCTGGAGCTCGAGAAGGTGGGCCGAACGTAAGCAGGAACTAGTCTTGCATAGACTTTAAGACAGAGAGGACGGATCCTCACACCCAGGTCGTCATCCCCCGACTTGAAAAAGACCTTGTGTAATCTTGCGCCTCCTGCATGTCAGGTCGACTGCAGACTGAAGACTGAGAGTAAAGTGTGATTTCGTACGAGCAAAATGATAAGCTGCTGCCATGTATCTAGCAGGGACGCCAAGATGGATGAGATAGTGCTGCAGGGCGCCCTCGCCGATGAAGTGAACCAGCTCCGGCGCAAAGTGGCTGTCCGAATGTCATCGGCTTCCAGTTGGCTGTCTGTAGCTTTGCGGATGCCAAGGTGAACGATCTGCGTAGCAAAGGCTGAACTTGCCAGTGACGTAGGAGTCTGTACTGAATCCTTCAGTGCCGTGCGTAGGACCAGTCCTTGGGCTCCTTCCGGCTTTCAAGGTTCTGAAAAGGGTGGGGCGGAGGGGGGAGCGAGGGAGTGGTGAGCGCTGGTACACTGGCT